AATATATATGTATAATATACAATTATTTAACCTATATACATATACAATTTACTTCTATCCCACTCTCTCCCCTCTCTCGCTCGTCTCTCTCCTCCCTGCCAATCTCTCTTGCCATATATACAAATGTCATTGTATAATATACAATCATATACATATATAATTCACCTCTCTCCCACTCTCTGCCCTCTCTCGCTCGCCTCTCTCCTCCATTTCTTGATCTCGACGCCTCTCTTCTACCTCTCTCGATCTCTCTTACCATATGTACAAATATATATGTATAATATTCAGTTATCTAACCAATATACATATACAATTCACCTTTCTCTCGCTTTTTTTCCTCCTCTCTCTCCCAGTATCGCTCGCCTCTCTCCTCCATGTAACATGTCGTTACAAATTGTAATTATCAAATTATAATTACGGAGAGTAATTATTATTTTTAAGTGGCTATATGTGAAAGTTTTTCTTATTTTATCTAGGGAAAAGACTCAAATATGCCATCGAACTTTCAGAAAAAGCTCATTTATGCCATCAGTTAAAAATTTGACTCATTTATGCCATTACTGTTAAAGAAAAGGTACATTCATGCTATTTTTTGAAAAAATGATTTTGCAAAACCATTTTTGACACGTGTCAAATTGTAATTCGGTCACGTCATTAATTTTTTACTAAAAAAATAATAATTCTAAAAATACTGAATTTAATTTTTTTGCCTTTTTTTTATTTAAAAAATTGATGACGTGGCTGAATTACAATTGGACACATCATCAAATTTTTTAATAAAAAAATTAAAATTCTGAATAAAATTGAATTAATTTTTTTTGATTTTTTTAATTAAAGAACTGATGACGTGGACGAATTATAATTAGTCACTTGTCAAAAATGGTTTGCAAAACCATTGTTAAAAATAATGACATGAATGGGCCTTTTCTTTTACATTAATGACATAAATGAGCCAAATTTTTAACTGATGACATAATGAGCCTTTTATAAAAGTTTAATGAAATATTTGAGTCTTTTCCCTTTTATCTATTATTTATTCAATTTTATTTGTTTTTTTCAAAAAAGTCGTTAATTTTTTATCTTTACTAGTTTCATTACCATGATCATTTTAGTAGGAAATGCAATTTTTTTTAAAAAAAAGTTGTTTATAAAAAATTAATTAATCACAGTTAGATTTATTTAGAATCCAAACAACTAAATCTGATTCAATTCTTGATTTTAAAATGATTAACTATCTAAACAACATTCTTAATAACATTCAATTAAAAGATATTTTTCCAAAGTTAAAATTCATGTATTAGTTCAATATTGAGTAAAATAAGTTATACAAAATGAGTCTAGATCTAATATTTTAATTTTTGTAAAATATATATATATCTAGATCGATCACAAAAAACTAGTAATCCTTTATATGCCTAGTCCAAATTTCTTAACCAACATTAGATAATCTAACAACAAAGAAAAACAAATTAAAGGAGTTGAGATAACTTGTTCCCTTAAGTGATTTTTTAGTAATGTAATATTACTTTTTTTTTAGAGCACTAAAGATTATATATTAAACAACCTATTTATTAGATGTAATATTACTTCTTAAATAATGTAATTAACCTAGATAAAAGAGGTTTATTTAAGACGTCCATGGAGTTTTTTCTCTAGTTCTATGAGCATGTATGGATTGACTTAAAAGTTAAAAACAATTTAAAATAAGTTACGAAATGGTTGACAAGATAAAAAATGACGTAAAATAAGTCAAAAATGACTCTAAATAAGTCAAAAATCAAAAGTAAGTCTCCCCCTACTTTTTATTTTTTACTTAAAAATCATTTCAGTTTAACTTTTTATTTTTAATTTGAAAACTATTTTTTAAAAATCAAAAAACTTTTTTTTCTCAAAAATTTTAAACGGTTAAATCTGAACACACCCTGTTAAGGTATCAATTTTTTCATTGACTTTTAAAAGAGAGAAAAGGAATTATAACTTCATGTAAGCCGTCAAATAGGTATTTTATTAGTAGTGATTCATTTTTACGTAGATTTCATTTTTTGCCTTTTGTGCAATGAGTAAATTCCTTAATTTTATTGAACGTTACTCCTACAAGGTATCTAAGAATGTAATGTACAAATCGAATATCATCATGAGCTATCAATTTTCTAAATATTCTTAAAATTTTGGTTTTTCAACAAAAAATAAAGAGAGAGAATAGTTAACTTTTTTTTTTTGGATTTATTTGACTTATTTTTATTTTATTCATTTAAAAAATAAATTCATTTTTATACTCCATAAAGTAAGGCTTTAATATAATTTATATTCTTATATGTATTGTCATAAAATTTTATAGCAATAAAAATAAATAACAACAACAAATTACTAAAATATGAGGAAACAAGGATTTTGATTAAATTTTTGTGAGAACACAATTATGTTTCTCCTTGTTTCGTCTTTTGAATATATGATGACTGAATCTCAGATTATATTTTTGATCGCTTAAAATGTTAGACGATGATGTTGACAAAAAAAGTTTTGATATCTTGAACTCTTTATAAATATTTCATAAATTTATGGAATTTTATATCTTTACGAGGAAAATGCATTTTGATACATTAAACATATTTTTTTTAATTTAAAATCGCAATATTCCAATTAAAGTTTTTTCAATTTTCAATTTCACTTGTCTATTTTTGCACATTAATAGTAAAATAATTTTTTTTCTTATTTTACTCTTAACATTAGCTACTATTTCCTCTAAATCATTTCCTTATTATTATTTTTTTAAATGCTAATAATTATAATGATTATTGTAATAAAATATCCATTTCACTTATTATATTTGATAAAAAGAAATTAAAGGTTCATGCTTTCAGCTTTGCGTAATGAATAAATTCCCCTACTTGTATTGAATATAATTATGTAATTGTTCAAGATCGAATATCATCTTCAGCTATCAATTTCTTTTTACAAATATTCTTACACACTTGGGTTTTTAAGATGGAAAATAAAACAAAGAACTGAAAAGGGCCTAAAATACATTTGAAGTATTGAAAATGGTATAAAATTATCCTTTATTCACCTATTGGCTCTAAAATGCTTTTTTCATCCACCTATTGACTCTAAAATATCCATCTTGGGTGCAAAATTGACCACTTATTTAATTGTTTTAAAATTAAACTCTTAAAATATTTTTTTAAAATACTTGGCATTCAACCATTGATTATAATTTAATTTATTAATATAATTTATAAACCAACCCACTACCCACTCATTACTAATTAAATCCCACCCAATTGCTAATCCAATTATAATATCAAAATCGTCATAAACACTACTAAAACACGATGAAATTGTAGATACCTGAAAATGACATTCAAAATTATTCGAGTCTGAATCGAAACCCCAATTAAATTTAGGTTGAGCCGCTTATTTAGGAGGATACTTTCAATATAATTTTCTTTCAAGATTGAATTAGAAATTTATGATTAAAGGTAAAGAAGTCATACATCTCGAATTAATTCATGTACTTTTTTAAAATATAATTTTACAAATATTTATGATTTGTTTTAAAATCTTTAATATATTATTTTGAAAAAAAGTTACCTATGAAGTAACATTACATAATTGAAACGTGAGAATAATTAAGATGAACATAGTCAGACTTTTAAAAATTTATCGTTAATTTTTATTTAGACACTTGAATGTATGATAATTTACTTCTATAGATATTTTCGCCTCAAATATTTAGAAATACTCAATTGGCAGTAGCTTTTCAGTTGTTGCATTAATGATTGACGGGTTTATTAATTTTGAGGGGTTTAATTAGTAATGGGTGGATAGTGGATTGATTTATAAATTATACTAAAAAATTAAATTATAACAAATAGTTGAGCGCCACGTATTTAAAAAAATATTTAATTAGTTTAAATATAAACTGTTAAATAAGTGGTCAATTTTGAACCAAAAGTTGAATGACAAGAGTATTTTGGACTCAATAGGTGAGTGGGAAGGATATTTTAGAGCCAATAAGTGGATGGACAGTAATTTTATACCATTTTCAACACTTTAAAAATATTTTATGCCTTTTTCCGAAGAAAGAATACTCTAAGAATTTGCTCAAAGCAAGAGAAAATGAATAACTTATTTTGCAATTAATTTTAATATGAATTCATCTCATATTTGATTAAGATAAAATTACAAGATTAATTATTTCAAAATTAAAATGTCATAATTTTCTATATTAAAAATTGAATAACCATCGTATAATTAATTTTGAAATATATTTATTTTCAATCAAAATAGTGAAAGAGAGCGAAAACTACACAGAAAAGAGTGAAAGAACGCTATTGGATTGAGATTAATTTTGGACTTATTAATTTAACCGCTAATCATGTCTCTATTATTCAACCTAATTTACATCTTTTGCTTCTTAATGAAGGAACCAGGCGCTTCAGTCAAATATTTGAATGCTCTCTTCGTTCCGTTTTACTTATTATATTTATTTTAATCAATAAACTCTATCCGTTCCTAATTAGTTATTCATTTTTAAGTTCACATATTTATTATAAAACTAATTATTGAAATAGTGAGTATATCATTTTATCTCTATTAATTATGAAGTTGATGAATTAACTGAGAGAATAGTAGATAAAAAAAAATTATCATTTCTTAATTTGTTAAAATGGACTAGTAATTAGGGACAGAGAATATATAATAAGAAAACAAACATTAGTACTCTCTATGTTTATTTTTATTTATCTTTATTTGACTCGATGCTACAAAACTGTCCCCATTAAATCTTGATAAATAATGAAGGTAAAATATGAAAAGAAAATAATCATCTTTTATTGATAAGTCAAAATTCAATATAGATAAATAAAATAGGACAGAATGAATATTTGACAAGTAAATGGAGACGAAAGAATATCCAAATGTTGAAATTAAATGCAAATAAGCCCAATACTCTTAATCAGTACAAATCAACTTAAACATAACGTAACATGAGAAAAATATTAATTGTCCACTTTAGTAGTCTCTTTGCTGCGCTTCTGGTGTGCTAAATCAAGAAAACATGGAGTCAACACTTGTTCATATTCAGGCACTTTAGCATAACCAGGGAAATAATTGATATCAATAATTAGATATCGATTTCCGTTTTCACTATCTCTTATCATGTCGAAATTAAAAAGATGAAGTTTCAAAGCATGTCGTAACTGCTTTGAAACTTGGTTAACGAAGCTTGATGGAGGCATAATCGCTGCCTCCATCAGCTTCGCTAAACTCTCATCGCTCTGTTCATTATCAGCGAAGTAAGAAATCAGGGAAAACGGAATCAAATTCTCTGAATTCCCCGATTTCTCTTCGGTTATATCACTCAATGACTTCCTTTTCACGCATTTTACGTGATCCCCTGCTACGTACACCTTGAAAATCACTCCCCCGTGGTTTACGAATTCCTGTAATACAATTGGGGTTTTTACTCCGTTTAATCCGTCCCGATTTAACACTAGACACATCTGATGAGCGTCAGCTGTAGCATTAGCGATCATCGCTTTTGCAATCAGGGGAAATTTCATCCCCCGATTATCAATTTCATCCTGCAGGCTTTCGTTTGAGTCAACGAAAGCCTGCAGGGGAATTTCTAGGTTTTCAATTTTCAATTGCTTAACTGCGTCGAGCATGGAGACTCGATTGTGGAGCTTCTCGATTGATTCAATCGGGTCGACTATGATTGCAGTCGGGTTTTGAAGTGAGAATTCTTCTAATTGCTTCTTCCATTCTGCATCGTAGAGCTTATGGAAAACAGAGTCGAACGGACCTTGTTCGACCAATGGCTTTTCGAGATCGATTGGGATGAGATCAACGCCTCGTTTTTCAGCGTAAACAACGAGAGAATCTTGGATGAAGCTGCTTACACTTCTGGGTGCAAGAGCGTAGCCAATGCGGAACCTCTCTCCAGCTAATAGTGATTCAGGCATGGCTACTAAAGCGTATGAATAAATATTTATCGAAAGAATTTTTACAAGTGATGGAACAAAAGAGGAAGAGATGACTGAAAATAGAGAGGATTTTAGGAAGTAAGTGTGGAGGTATTATTGATATTGGAAGTCTATTTATATAGAAATGGAAGGAGGACAACATGGTAATAAGAAAAAAATATTATTATTCCATTACTCTATTTTAATTTATTTGATTGATTTTTTAACTATACTAATAATATTACAAATACTTTTCAATCATTTTAGTGTAGTAGATAAGAGTGTAATATACATTAATTTATTTTCCTTTTAAGTTTAAAGTAGGATTTATAAGGAAAATAGTATATTACATTATTTTTGGAAAAGTATGTGAAATGAATAAAATGTGTCTTTATATTTTGGTTTTAAAGTGTATGTGTTACCAATATTTTGGTCTAAAATATTCTTACTGTTACCCATTAGTTAAAATTATCTTTTTACTTATTAGTCGAATAAAATAAAAATACTTTATTTTTTTGAAAGTAATATCTTTTAATAGAAATAGAAAACGATTAAAAAGAAAAAAAATATAGTGTATATTTTGTAACAAATTAGTGTAACATACAATTTTATATTGTACTCCATTTACCAGGTCAAAAAATTATCCAATGAGGTTTGTTTATCTTAGCAAGTGGCGTGATAATTAGGAACTTTAGGAATGAGTTTGGAAGTTTACTTAGTGAACTAAAACAAGAGTACAAGTTAAATTCTAGAAAAAAAAAATATTTTTTGACCTATTTAGTAATAATAGGAGAATTTGTAGATCAAATTATTAAGAACAAGAAGATTTCTTTTTTTAAATAAAAGTATTGACAACAAGGATACTTTGGTATTAAAGTATTAACGAAAAATATTTTTATTTATTTCACGTAATTTTCAACCCTTTTCAACATTATTTTTTTATAAATAGTGATATAATCCTATATATTTTGATTCAATGCAATAAATAACACATTTTTTATTATTACTCTCTCTTTAGTTTTCTCAATAATTTCTTTCATTTCATAGTACTCCCTCTATCCTTATTTAGTTGTCCATTTTAAAAGTAACATACATATTAAGACATCAATTTTTATTATAGGTTGGTTACAATTTTACCCTTTAACTTAAAAGATTATGCAACTCTCCAAATATAATAAATGTATTTTCTAGTTTCAAAAAGCATGCATTGCAACTTAATAATACTAAAAAATTTCTAGAATTTAATAAGAACATATTAGAAAAAAATTATTATCTTTTCTTAATTTGTTAAAATAAATAAACAAATAAATACAGATATAAATAAGAGCATATTAAAAAAATTTATCCATCGTCTTTGTTTTATTGATTTAGAAAGCCAATGAACCGTGTCTCGATTCTAAAAATGCAAAACTATATAATAATTCATCAAAAACCACGCACAGTAAATGCTAGAAATAATTCAATATATGAAATATTTGAACCAATTCCATATTGTTTTAATTTATTTTAATATATATATATATATATATATATATATATATATATATATATATATATATATATA